TTTTCATTGTAATTTGATGCAAAATTTGTTTTTTGGTTTTTGTTTTCTAAATTTATTTATTCTATGGATGTTTGGGTTATTATAAGCACTATCTATCTAAAATAGTTTGGTGCTAGGAGTTTACTTGATTAAACGTGGTGGCTATATGTTTATGGCAAGATCCAATTCTATTAAACTGAGTTCTTCTAATGTGATACCCATGGACAAATTATTATATGGCAAATTTAATTTACAAGATCTGGACAGCATTCTCTTTGCTGTTTTGCCATCTGGCTTAACTTTAATTTGTTGTTGTCATAGTTTCCAATGATAGTTTCCATCTTAGAGAAAAGGTTGTAACTTTACCAAATTATTATTGCAGACTTTGAATAAGTGCAAGGTGGGGATACATGAGATGCTTCCTGCAATTTTACATAAATGGCCAAGCTCTCCACTTAGGTCCCTCCCAGAAGATGCTCCTCACAAAACACCATTTGTTGCATAAATGTAGGAGCTAATACTCATCCATGTATTCTCAATTACCGTAAGTAATCTGCCTCTTCTATAATCTACTGTTTTGTTGTCATCCATCTCTACCCACAATATCTTAATGAACACATTTTATGGACACAACAATGTCTTTGCTTTTTCTCTAGACTAGATGGTTTTTGGAAAAATTTTCTGAAACCAATATGAGGCTATCCTGAAATCACAGAATTGCACCATTTCTTCTTTTGCTTTGAGTTCTGGAATCCTTTAAGTGACAATGTTGCCTAGTATCTGCATTTCAGCTCTGAGTTTGGTTGTACATCAAGGTTTTTCCTGCAATTTAAGAGATGGTAAGGCTAGGATGTAGAGGGTTGCATTGCGTACAAACTGCCAAGGCACAGTTTTGGTCTTAACCACCTTGACAACAGAAAGCTGCAATTATTATATGATTAAGCCATGAATTTAATAAATGGAAGTGTAAGAATGTTCTCGTGTTGACTAAGAATCAGACGATTCAGACCTGACATTAAGCATTCTTTTCTTCTTCCATATATCTTCCTCTTTTTTTTGTATGTTCCATTTTCTTTTTCGATATTTGAGGTAACGTATGCCACGGTAGATTACCATTTTTCAGTACTTTATGTTAAGGAATGCATCCATCCTTTGTGCAAATGGTTGTGGTGATAACTAGTTTAATCTTCAATCAATATTCTGATTCAATGAGAGGTCTCATTGGTAATATTCTCTGGAAGTAAATAGTTAATCTAGACAGAGGGCAAATTTTCTTGTTACTCAAAAAAATATGCTCAAACCCATCCTTTAATTCTAGAGAGAATAATTAGATGTAGTAGAAAGAAGATTATTTTAGCTACAATGCTAAATGGCATTTTTTATGGGTTTTATGATGCCAGATGAAGTTCATTTTTGAGTCACGAGCTGCTTCTAATTAGTCCCACATCAAAAGTACACACAAACTACTAACAGGGTGTATGATTTTTTGGCTAATATCAAAATGTATCATGTTTTAATATCAGTTTAATGATTCATGGGTAATTGAATGATACCTTTCGTTATTTATACTATTTATAAGATTAACTAAAAGCACCCTAGTACTCCTCAAATTCATCCTGTCATTCTTCAAAAAAAAAAAAAATGTTCAAACTCATCCTATCATTTCTCAAGAAAATATGCTCGAACTCATCCTGGCAGCACCAGATGCAGAGAAAAATCATCCTGGCTGTACCAGATGCAGAGAAAGAAGATTGTCTGGCGAAGATAAAGTTTCATTGAGTCACAGGAATTTGCCCCACATTACCTGAGCTTTTCCAGTTTGTCCCACATGGAAACAACAAGCATTAGCGAGACGAAGAGTATTGTACAAGAGGAATGCTCAAACCCTCTACAA